TTTTTTTTTTTTTTTTTTTTTTTTTTTTTGGTGCTGGGAGTTCACCTAAGGGCCTTGTGCTTGCCAGGTAGGTGGGGCACCGCTGAGCTAAATCCCCTTTTTTACCACAGGTTCTTTTAATTTTTATTTTTTTTGGTACCGGGCATCGAACTCAGGTCCTTGCGCTTGCGAGGCGGGCCACCGAACCGCTGAGCTAAATCCCCGGCCCTTAAATTTTTAAAAAATGGCACGCGTGTGCGCACCCCGCCCATGCTACGGGGTTCACCCCAGCTGCTCTAAGGTGTACAGGTCAGTGTTGCTGACTGTGGAGGTGACAGATGGCTACAAGTGTGGCATCTCGCAGAACTGAAGCTCCTTACCTGTTGTACCGCGAGGCCTCATCCTGCACTCTTGCCAGGCCCTGCCAAACTACCATTCTGCTTTTTGTTTTTATGCGTTTGACTGCTCTCCATTACTTCGTACAACTGGAATTGTACAGTGCTTGTCCTTTTATGGCCGGCTCGTTTTTTTTGTTTGTTGGTTTGTTTTTTGGTACGAGGGATTGAACTTGGGCCCTTGAGCTTGCGAGGCAGGCAGCAGAACCACTGAGCTAAATCCCCGGCCCCCTGGCTCGTTTTGCTTAGCATGGTGTCCTCCAGCTTCACCCATGTCTTTCAACGTGATTTTCTTCTTTTTACCACCCCCAGGCCCAGTACTGGGAATCAAACCTAGGGCCTTTGGACTGAACGACGTTCACAGATTCTTTTCTTTCTGAGGCAGGTCTCACTATGTAGATCAAACTGATCTTGAACTCACTGTGTAGCCCAGGGTGGCCTTGAACTCGTGATGATTCTCCTGTCTCAGCTTCCTGAGTGCTGGAATTACAGGCTATCTTTTCTTATCTCTTATCTTGAGACAGAGTCTCACTCATTCTCTAGGTTGCCTAGGTTAGAGCAACTCCTCACCCTCCTGCCCCAGCCTCCCAGAGGCTCTGGGATTGGAGGTGTGCAGCACCATGCCTGGCTCAACGGATTATTTGTTTGTTTTTTTGGTATCAGGGATCGAACTTGGGTCTTTGAGCTTACAAGACAGGCGGCGGCACCACTGAGCTAAATCCCGGCCTGGATTTTATTATTTTTTAAAGTTGAATAACACTGCCCTGTGTTTTCACACAGATTTTCTTCATCCACTCCTCGATCAGTGGGCATCTGGGCCTCTCCCACCCCTGGCTGTTGTGAATAATGCCTCAGCATGGTGTGCGAACATCTCTTCCAGACCAGTCTGCAGTGGCTTCTTCATCGGAACTGCTGTCTCCTCCAAGTATTTCTCTCTCTGCCGGCTCCTTTTCCTCTTCCCACCTCACAGCACACTTTTACCCCAGCCTTCGCATTTCTGGGCTGCTTTCCTGGCTTCCTCTCTTCCTTTCCTTCCCTGATGGCCTCTGGACCAAGGAAGAAGGGGAGTAGAAAAGGCTCCTGGGCTTTCATGTGCTGTTAATAGATGTAAACACACCCTTCTGTCTGTCTGTCCGCTTTTCACCTGTTGTATAAAAGGAGTGAACAAGCCGGGCATGGTGGTGCACACCTGCAATCCCAGCACTCCGATGCTGAGGTAGGAGGATTGCAAATTTGAGCCCAGCCTGAGCAACTCAGTGAGACCCTGTTTCAAAATAAATAAAATAATAATAAAGTCATCCAAGTGTGGTGGCTCAGGCCTGTAATCACAGCACTCTAGAAGGCCGAGGCAGGAAGATCACAAGTTCAATTCCCACCTGGACATTTAGCAATTTAGTGAGACACCTGTCTCAAAAACATAAAAAGGAGTAGGCTTTCACTCAGTTCAAAGGCAGTTGGGTTTAATCCCCAGTGTCACAAAGGAATAGGAGGAAAATCTGCTTTAAAGCATTATGGTTCTCACATTGACAGGGGAAACTTTTATAAATAGCAAAAACCTATAAAGTGTTACAAAGTAAAATGGCTTCTGCTGTCTCTAACAGCAGTTTGCTTTGTTTAGTTTAAAACTAATAGGCACTGAAGCCACTAATTGCTGAATGAGGCATTTGGTCTGACCCTGAGATAACAGGGTCAGCAAGGTCTTGAGCTCCCAGAGACTGAAGCCACCTGTTCGTAAAAGTGTCTAAAAACCCCACTGCTAACATTTGCTCCCCTGATGCTGAACACCCCATTCCTATGGGCTAAAATAGATAACTAGGCAAATCTTAAAGATAAACTCCCCAACTGCAAAAAACTTATGTCTGGGTTAAAAAGATTAACTATTCTGTGACCGTGATTTAAACTGTAAAAATAAAATGTAACCACCCAAATAAAAGTCAAGACTGTAAAACCATATTTAAAAAAAAAAAGTTATAACCCAGTGCGCCAACGATCCAGGCACGGCTTATGTGCAATCGACCCTTATTGATAAGTAAATTTATTATTTTACTCCCGTTCTGCCGCCTCTCTGTCACTTACTGATTCTTTCCATAACATCTCTGGCCACACAGCTCCAGAGGCAAGCTTTCTCCTGGACTCCAGGGTGTACTGGGCAGGACCAGCCTGGTGCCTTAGCCAAGTGACCCTGAGGCTCCTTGAGCTGTTTCCTGTGATGGTTAGTTCAGGTGTCAGATGGCCTGGATTAAGGATACCTGGAGACCTCATAAAGGATCCCTTCTGGGTGTGTCTTCTCCAGAAGAGACTAGGGTATGTGTGTGCGTGCGCTTGTGTTTGTGTGTATGTTAGTGAACTGAGGGGGGAAGATCCAACCTCACCATATAAGAATATCATTCAGTTAGTTGGGGGACCAGACAGAAGAAAAAAGTAGAAAATCCTCTTGTAATCCCAGCTATTCCAGAGGCCGAGGCAGGAATATTCCAAGTTTGAGACCAGCTTGGGCAATTTAGCGAGATTCTGTCTCAGAATAAAATTTTAAAATAAATATAATAAAAAGAGAACAGAGGATTTAGCACAGCACTTCTTCGATTCAATCCCAGGACTGGGAGGAAAAAAGGCAAAGAAATGTCTTTGTCCTTTTCTCCTGTCCTTAGATACCAGAACTCTCGACTGTTTGGCTTGGGACTCCAGGATTTGCATGCAGCCCCCTGGTGCTGAGGTCTTTGGCACTGGACTATTAGCTGCTTTGATTCTGAAGCTTTAGGAATTTTTTTTTTTTTTTTTTTTTTTTTGGTAGTGCAGGCTGGCTTTGAAGTCACTGTGTAGCCCAGGCCTCGAACTCACAGTGATCTTCCTGACTCAGCCTCCTGAGGCCTGAGGTTATAGGTGTGCGCCACCACACCTGGCTTGAAGCTGTAAGATTTGGACTGAGTGACACTACCCATGTTCCAGTTCTCCAGCTTCTAGAGGCCTGTGAAAGGACTTCTTAAAACCACAATGATACATCGCCTTATATGACAGGAATAGTTATTATCAAGACAAATGCTGGTGAGGAGATAGAGAAAAGGGAATCCTTGCACACTGTTGGGAATATTACTATAGACATTGTGGAAAACAGTATGGGATGTCCACAAAAGTCTAAAAGTAGAACTATCATGTGATCCAGTAATCTGCTGCTCAGTAAGTATCCAAAGTAAATGAAATCAGTATCCACACTTCCAAGCTTATTTTGTCATTATTCTCAATAACCAAGAAATACCAGACCTGGGGTTCACACCTGCACTCAGGAGGCTGAGGTAGGAGGATCACTGTGAGTCTGAGGCCAGCCTGGGCTACATGAGTGATTTCAAGGCAAAAACCCAAAAGACAAAAAGCTACTTTCCATCAGCTGAAGGATGGAAAAAAAACTGTGTCACATATATACAACGCATAACATACTGAACTGCCATAAAAAGGAAATTCTGTTATTTGTAACATGGTGAATGGAACTGGAGGTCATTACCTGAAGTGAAATAAGGCCAGCATAGAAAGATGCGTATCATTTACTCTCACTTGTGGGATCTATAAAATTAAAGGACTTGAGAGTAGAATGGTGGTTAGCAGAGGCTGAAGAGTTGAGGACAAGGAGAGGAGGAGGAAGGTTTGACAATAGCTGCTAAATTACAGCTAGACAGGATTCAGAAGTTCTGATGTTCCGATGATAGGTTTTATACATATATACACACACACACACACACATACACACACATGTGCACACACACATAAACACACACATACACACACACATATATACACACACACACACATATATATACACATACACACACATACACATACACACACATACACACACATATATGCACACACACATATATGCACACACATACACATATATACACACATACACACATACACACACATATATACACACATACACACACACATATATACGCACACACATATACACACATATACACACACATATACACACACATATACACACACATATACACACATACACACACATATACACACATATACACACACACATATATACACACATATATACACACATATATACACACATATATATACACACACACACACATATATATACACACATACACACACATATATACACATACATATACACACACATATATATACACACACACACATATATATATACACACACATATATACACACACACACACACACACACATACTTTTTTTTTTTTTTTTTTTTTTGGGTACTGGGGATCAAACTCAGGATCTTGCAACTTGCCAAGCAGGCATGGTGCCACGGAGCTAAATCCTCAGCCCTATATATTATATTTTCCAAAAAGCTAGAAGCAGAGCCGGGCGTGGTGGCGCACACCTGTAATCCCACCACAGGGGAGGCTGAGGCAGGAGGGTTGCCGCGAGTTTGAGACCAGCCTGGGCTACATAGTGAGTTCCAGGTCAGTCTCAACTACATAGTGAGACCCTGTCAACAACAACAACAACAACAACAACAACAACAACAACAATACTAGCAAAAAGCTAGAAGCAATGATCCTGAATGTTTTCATTATAAAGAAATGATAAGTATTGGGGAGATAGATAAGCTTAACTTTATTTATTTATTTTTTTTCGGGTACTTGGGATTGAACTCAGGACCTTGCACTTGTGAGGTAGGTGGCGGAACCACTGAGCTGAACCCCGGCCCCTGTTTAACTTGCTTTAAAAATTATACAGGTATGTATGTATTGAAACTTCACAAAATAAAGAGGAAATAAGTGTAAACTCCCAAGTTTGTGTTCACTGAAGTTGAAGAATGAATTCTAAGGAACATCAGAAGTTAAAAGTGGAAAATGTATTGAGGAATAGGAATGGGGAACAGAAATGGGGAATAAAAATGGGGAACAGAAACAGCTCCTGAGAGACAGTAGGAGTCCTGAACCAGTTGTCGAAGAGCCCACTTCTCTGAGAAAGTTTTATAGAGCAAAGTCCTGAGGGGTGGGTACAATGTGGGTCTATTTAGAATCAAATAATACAATTACAAGTGTAACCACTTAGCTCACACTGGCCCAGTAGTAGCAAGGGCATATGGATGAGATCAGTAACCTTGGTGGATAATCTATAGTCTTTGTCTTGTCTTATTCTTAGTATAGTGGACCTTCAAGTTATGACTGGCCTTACTTATGAACGACTTGGGTTATGACCAGAATTTTAGTTTGAACTTACAGAAGTCTTGAGTTACAACCTGACCACTGACCACTTGTGCTTCCAGATAGTCTCAGATACAGATTTTTTTCTTGGGGGGGGGTACCTGGAATCGAACTTGGGACCTAACGCTTGCGAGGCAGTCGGTGGAACCACTGAGCTAAATCCCTGGCCCCTCAGATACGGATTTAACCCTTGAAGAGCTCCGGAAAGAACATTACAACATTCTTTCCTGTGTGGGGTTGAGAAATCCTGGGCCAGTGTCTCTAAGGACCCTGAGATCTGCCTGTGTACAGAAGATAGACCGAAGGCTGTGTAGAGGAGCCTGAGCTTCCATTGACCAACTGAAGTTACAACCAGAAGTCTTTTTTTTTTTTTTTTTTTTTTGGTATCAGGGATCAAACTTGGTCCTTGCGCTTTTGCTTTCGAGGCAGACAGTGGAACCACTGAGCCAAATCAAACATAACTGCAGTCTTACTGGGTGGGAGAAGATGGTCCACTCCTGATGAGATAATGGTTTATTTATATGGGAAATCTCCAAAGGGTGGTACCAATAATCTCAAGCTTCCTTAGGGAAGTATGTAAATCTGGCCATTGTGACTTGAATCTTCTTCAGATGTGCCTCCAGCCAATTTTTGACTTATCTTCTGAACTGATTTAACTTCTGAATTTACTCCCTCAAAGGTCTAGCCCTGTCTGTCTATAATATTTCTACCTAATTTAGTTGTCTATAATAGTACCCCATTGATATATACAATTAAAAAAAACAATTTAAGTATGTTAGTAAAACTGAAAGAAATAAAAATGGAAGAATTAAAATAAGAATAAACAAATTTTAAAACTTTAAATCTCGCGCTTGGGAAGCTGAGGTAGGAGGGTCGCTGTGAGTTCGAGACCAGCCTGGGCTACTTAGTGAGTTCCAGGTCAATCTCAACTACATAGTAAAACCCTGTCTCAAAAAAATCCAAAACTATATAGATAGGAGGGACATGGTGGTGAACGCCTGAATTCCAGCACTCAGGAGGCTGAGGCAGGAGGATTACCAAGAGTTTGAGAACAGCCTAAATTACTTAGTAAATTCAAGGGCAGCCTGGACTGCATAGCAGAGACCCTGTCTCAAAAACAAAAACAAACACACAACAAAACAAAAATCTATACAAAACCAGTCTAGAGTTAGATGAGGTCTTTAATGTTCTTTTCCCGAACTCCAGGATGTCTCTTGCTCCTGCCTTTTTTTGAGTTCCCAAACCTCAATACAGGTTATGTAATTTATCTAACTTCGGCTCTTCCTGTTTCACTTTGACCTCTACTATTTCAGCTGTAGTTACACAAAAATTAAGGATAAGATTTTTTTTGAGGATTAGATTTTAATACAAAGATTTCAACAAATCCTGAAACTCAAGGTGACCCATTTACTCGCGGATCTTCCAGAAAGGCCCCGTCAGTTTCCAGAAAGAGGCCAAGCAGCACACGCACGCGCTTTTAGGGGTGAGGGCACAGCGAAGCTAAAGGGGCGTGGTAATTGCCCTGTTCCAAGATGGCAGTCAGAGCTGTCCGGCCTCGCTCCCGGGGGTGGGTCAAAGGCTCAGAACGCTATTGGTAAACTATCCACAGCTTGTTCCCGCCCACCTCAGGAGGCGGTAATGACAGCATTCCAGTTTCCGGTTCCGGCAGCACCGGGATCCGAGTCGAGATGGAGGAAGATGCGACCGGAGGCTCCCAGTCGCTGGGAACGGAGGGTCGAGCCGGGGCTGCGGCCTAGAAGTCCGGGCCTGGAGTGCGCCTCAGAAGCTCAGGAACCGCCGGGGTCTGAGGAGGTGAGCCGGGTTTGGGGCATACGACGGCCGCGGTCTGAGGACCAGGACCTGTCAAGGCAGTGGTGTGCGTGGTGCTGGGTGCAGCGCCGGGGGACCTCGTCCTGCGGTTTGGGGCTGAAGAGCTGGCCAGCGGGGCTCCTCTTCCTGCCGCAGGAGCGTGAGATTCCCTAACAGCGGCGGAGCTGGCGAGGGGCAGCCTGAGGACCCAGCCTCGGCCGCCGGGGCCAGGACAGAGGGTGCCTAAGGGAGAGTGTCACGTGGAGTGCGGGGAGAGGCTGTCACGTGGTGCCTGTGATGCGTGATCCCGTGGGCACCAAGAGGACCAAGGAAGGCTGGGTGGGATTCTCATCTCCTCTGAGGGAGGAGGTCGTCTTAAAGGGGTCGGTGGAGGCATCGCCAGGATGTCGCATAGGGAATGTAAGTTCGGCAAAATGCTCGTGTATTCCGGGATGCAGATTCAGGAGAACAGAAGGAAGGCAGGATGCCGGTCCCTCATTTCCATCTCCAAGTGGGGATCCTTGGTTGTCTTGTCATGAGTTATAGAAGGTGTTTTGTTTTTTTTAAAACAGGGTCTCACTGTGTAGTTCAGGCTGATCTTGAACTCACTGTGTAGCCAAGATGGCCTTGAACTGAAGTCATCCTCCTGCCTCAGCCTCCCCAAGTGCTGGGTTTACAGGTGTGCACCAAACCACCCCCAGCCCTTTTTATTTTTTCAGACATGTCTTGCTAAGTTTCTCAGGTAGGACTCTAACTTGTGATCCTCCTGCTTCAGCTTCCAGAGCGCTGGGATTATAGGTGTGTGCCACGATACCTGGTTTGCAATTCTTAATATAGTGACACTCCATAAGTACTTTGATATGTGTAAAAGCCACCTACAGATCTTATTAAAAAATTGGTTCATAGGGCTGGGCATTTAGCTCAGTGGTTTGGTGGCCTGCCTTGCAAGCAAAAGGACCTGAGTTCAATCCCTGGTACCAAAAAAAAAAAAAAAAAATTGGTTCATAGTTGGGCATGGTGATACACACCTGTAATCCCAACACTTTGGAGGCTAAGGCAGGAGGATTTCCTTGAGTTCAAGGCAAGCCTGAACTACATAGCAAGACCCTGTCACAAAATCAAGGAAACAAACAAAATATTGGTTCTTATTCAGCACATCTGTAGTACAACCTGAAATCCTCTATTTCTAGCTTGGGCGATGCCTAATACTGCTGGTCTGTGGACAACACAAAGCGTCGTGGTGAAACAGAATTTCTGCAGTAACAGAAGTGATTTCCTGTTGACAAAATGCTTTTTACAGATATGAGCTCCTATATGCTGCAGCACAAGCTGTTATTTAGCCATGGCAGGCTTTCCTAGCCCCAAAGAAACTGGATCTTGAATGATTTGGCTGTAGTCTCACACTAGCGAGTAGCACAGTGGAGCTCAATGCTTGCTGACCTTTCTGTTTTCTCCAGTGGATCTGCCTTCTAAGCCAGAATCTTCCCTTAGAACCTAGTGGGATTGGTTTTGTGCAGGTAGAGTAGAAGTGGAAAAGAGGTGTACATACCTGGGCCAATGTGTCTTTTCCCTGGAGTTGTCAGTACAGGGAATTCTGCCTCTGACGTTTTACTCAGTGAGTTCAGTACAGTACAGAGTACATTACATTTGTGCCTGAACAGTTTTTTTTGGTACTGGGGATCGAACTTTCGAGGCAGGTGACAGAACCACTGAGCCAAATCCCTGGCCCCCCAACAGCTTTAAAGGTAGAAGAAAATCTGGAATTGGAGCCAGGCATACAAACAAGAGTCTGAGAAAGGGCTATAAAGAAGTTGGGCTCCTGTAATCCCAGCATTCTCGAAGGCTGAGGCAGGAGGATCAAAGGTTTGAGCCCAGCCCAGGCAACTTACTGACTTAGCCAGACACTGTTTAAAAAAAAAAAAAAAAAAA